CTTTCCTTTCCTCTCCCTTCCCTCTTTACCTTCTTTTCTCTCTTCTCCGTTGTTTTCTCTCTGCCCTCTTCCTTTTTTTTCAATTCTTCTCTTTTCCTCATTTCTATTCCTCTTTCCCACAGTCGGTCTATTCACTCCCGCACCCAGCGATCCCTGTACCTCCCCTGTGTCCGCCCGCCCGCCTGTCTGTCTGTCTGTCTGTCTGTCTGTCTGTCTGTCTGCCCGTCTATCTGTCTGTCTATCAGCCGATCGTTGTTTCTCCGGGCTCGAGGGAGAGAGAGATCGCTTCGGAAGCCCCGCGACGCCTTTATAGCCGAGATTAGTACTTCTTCCTCCTCCTCCTCCTCCTCTTCACCTTCTCTTCCTCTTCCCCCTCCCCCCTTCTTCCTTTTGCTGCTTCTTCTTATTCCTCTTCTTATCCTTTTTTCTCCTCGTCCTCGTCGTCCTCCTACCCCTCTCCCCCCCTTCCATTATCTTTGTGATAAGGTATCGCGGGCCGTGAACACCTGCGCCGGAGCACACCTGTTCCCCTGTCCTCATTATCAGTGAACATAGCAACAGATGCTATTAGTTTTCCGGGGAATGAATTGCGTTTTTTTTATTGCTCAGGAAAAGAGTAAATCTAGAAAATGATATATCACGAAATTGTGTTCTCTGTTATTGATTTATTGCATTTGTTTAAGTCGGGTGAGAAGTTATATATTTCGAATTGTGTTCCCGAATAACGGAGAAAAACATAGTCGGTTATATAATAACTCTTTTATGCAAGTAATATACCTAGAAGTAGATAAATGGTAGAAAAGCGATGATAAAGAAGCGAATAAAGGGAAAATGTTCTAACCCAGTTCCGAGGACCTTGAGCGGAGCCGGATTGGAGCTCCGTCGCGGCGGGAGAGATCGATGGCGAAGCTGCCGCTCTGCCGTCTTTAACATTCCTTGCGGTTTGATGAGGCCTCGCCCGATCGCCGGCGAGCGCTCCCGGGGGCCTCGCGGTCCGGCGGGAGGGAGGAGGAGCCTCCGGAGCCGAGAGGACCTCCCGAGGGGAAGGAGCCGGGCCCGGACGTCGCTTCCGGGGTTGGCCTCCTGCAGGGGAAGGACCCCTTCTTCCTTCTCATTCCCTTCATCCTCCTCCTCCTCCTCCTCCTCTTCCGCTTCCTCTTCCTCCCCCCTCCCCTTCTCCCCTTCCTCCCCTTCCTCCACCTCCTCTCACTCGTCCTGCTCCTCGGCCTCCACCTCCTCCCCCAGGAAGGGCGGATGCGATAGCGAAAGTGTGCAGGGGATGGGGTTGTATTGGGGGCATTGGAGGTTGAGGGCGTGTTGGAGATTTGCTGGAGGAGGAGATTGTTGCGGGAGGCCAACGAGGGGGTATGTAATGAGCTTCTCGAAGGAGGGACAAGAGTGGGCTGGCGGGCGGCGTGAGCGACGAGCGTCCGATGGCGGCGCTGCATCACAGTTAGTCCTGTTGCACGCACGCTCGCACGCACAGCCAGGAAATGGTCGTCCGATGTGCAATATGTTGTCCATTTACATAAATTACCTGCAGGTACGTTGTTTACTCGCTGCTAATGGCAATCGGTAGCGCCTGTGGCCGCCGACGCCACCTGACGACCTGCATATCCGGACGCTTCCCGCCGCCCGCTGGAATGTGCGCGTCGGCTGATCAATGGCTGGGGACGCCTTGGGGGCTGGAGGGGGCAGCACGCGGACACGGACGCCTAAGCGGATACTTGACTGGACACGGGCGTTTAAACGGGTACTTGAGTGGACACGAGCCGCACACACGGATACGTAGACAGATTCGTATTCGGACAACTATAACTACAGACACGTAGAGACATGAAAACGTACACGGACAAGTTATCGGACGTAGAAATGTACACAGACACGTATAAATACACGGACACGTACACGCGTACGAACGTCCGCCTACAGAGAATGACGAAGATTTATCAGCTTTGTTGGTCGCCCGTTCTGTCAGTTGCTAGATAATCATAGCGTCTGGACTCGGGCGCACTTAGGCCTGTAATTTCTTTCTCGCTCTCTGTGTTTCCTCCTCTTCCTCCGCGTCTTGAGCTTCTTGTTCTCTTCCTTTTCTTTGTTTTATTTCTTAGATGAGTATTAGGTTCTTTTGTTTGATCTTCTTTGTCTTTTATCCCTTTTTCTCTTCGTTATGACTTATCTTCTTCCTTTTCCTTTCTTCCCATTCCTTCTTTTCCTCTTCATTTTTTTCTCCTCTTCCTTTTCCCCTCCATCTTCCTCTTTCTCCTGTCCTTCTCTTTTCCTCATTTCGCCTCTCCTTCCCTCTCCACTCCTTTCCTCCCCTTCCTTCCTCCTCCTCAAGCCCGTCCTCCCCCTCCCCTCCCCCCCTCCCCCCGGGTATCGTCCTCCGCCCGCCCGATATCACCAAATTACAGGTGTTGTCTGCGGCTCCGAAGTTTAATTCTAGATAATTAATGAGGTAATGCGGGCGTCGGGCGGCCGGGGCCTCGGATTGTTTGAGGAGGAGGAGGTAATGTGTGGGTGAGGGCGTGCGGAGGGCGGGCGTGGGCGGGCGTGGGCGGGGCACGGTGATGGATCCCGCGTACCGTCGCCTCATCAGGCCGCGACGATGGCCGGGACGCCCACGATACTCAATTATCGCGCGCCCTTCGTGCCGCCCGCGATAACACGCTATCATTACCCGGGCCGCCGCCGCTCCTGTGGCGCGTGCTCCGCCGTCGGAAGCCTCGATCCCGGCGCGAAGGGATGATGCCTTTGAAGGACGGAAAGTGGGACCGTGTCGTATGTCGGGATCATTAGTTAAATCCTAAGGTGATATATTTCCCTTATTATGATCAACCAAATCTCAATATACACGAGTGCAGTTTTTTCCACGTCGTTCTTATTAGTATCAATTAGATCCCTCGATGCTGGGAACCTCTGCCCTCCAGTCGTTCCCGTATCCAGTTGTACTGGTGGTTGCCTCGACGTCGCAGTCCTTTGTCCCGCGTGTAAACTCCCCCGAACAGCGGCGTGGGGGCTGCGCTGCGTCCAGTCTCATGCCGATCCGCAGTTCTGTGCTGCGGTGCGGACTTAGGCAGGAGGGGGGGGCGCTGCGGCCGATAATTACACATCTAACTTATAGAAATATTCCGTGTTGAAAGCGGCAAGAACCGACGCGGCTCCGGGACGGTTCTTTCCTCCGGCGGTTCGTCCTGCAATGTTTCGCTCAGTTCCGCCCCGCTCGAGACCCCCGCCCGGACGAAGCTTTCTGAATTACGGATCCTATTACACTCGCATGTACACAATAATTTGATAGCCTTGCTAATAGGGCAATTTATTTTTTTCTGTCTCTCTTTCTCTCTCTCTCTCTCTTTCTCTTTCTCTTTTTCTTTCTCTCTCGTTTTTTTTTCTTTTCTTTTTTTTTTTTGTGTGCATGGAACCGGGAAAGAATTGAGGGTGTTCGAGGCCGGTGGTTCGCCTCGAGTTCGAAACTCATCATGAAACATAGGCAATAAGATGGGTCCTTCCCGAGCGACGTCCGCCATGGGAAGAGCTAGCAAGCGTGTCATTCATTGCTCGTGCATGACGTTGGAGGTGGGGGGGTGGGGGGAGGAGGAGGGGAGGGATGAAAGGAAGGGGAGAGAGTGAAGGAAATAGGAGGAGGAGGGGAAGGATGAAGGGAAGGGGAGAGGTGATGGGAGGAGGAGCAGGATAGAGGGAGGGGGTAGGGTGAAAGGGAGGGGTGAGGGTGAAGTGAGAAGTGGGGGGGGGAAGGGAAGGTGAAGGGAGGAAGGGCAAGGGTGATTGCACGCAGCAGTCTACTTGTCCCCAACACCGGGCAACATCAAAGGGGTTGGGGAGGGGGGGAGGGGGGGAGAGGAGACCGGGTGGCATTGCGTGAGAGAGACCGATAGATCGCCTTGTTATTATTCAGATATGTCGTCGAAGTACTTAACCGAGTGGGAAATGTTTATTCCCCCCCCCTCCTCCTCACTACAATGGAAACCAAAGAATCAAGAAATAGAAAAAATGACTTTCCTACTTTCCTCTTTTTTCCACCATCTCTTTCGCGATGTATAGAATCAGTGGCAATGCGAAAAAAAAATAAGGACAGTGAGTGGCGTTCCTTCTAGCGTTCTGACCCGCACGTGGTGGTCGCCGGCACGTGGCAGCTAATAACACGGGAGGGACATGCCAGGCCCTTGTCATTAATCACGTGTGCTTCCCGCCATCAGTGTCAGTGGATGATATTGTGTCGCGTGGGCCTTCTCTCACTCGTCCATCTTCTCTATTCCTTTTCTTCTCTCCTCACGTTGGCTATGACAAAAAAGGGCATTGTTTTTTATATTCAGTTCCGTAGCAACAGTTATTCTCTGTTCACGTCGGCTTTGGCAAAAAATGGCAACTTGTAAACTCTCAACGTAGTCCTTCTGTACGCTCGTCGGGTATGGCAAAGATGGCGACTTGTTTTTGTTTTGTTTTTTCTTTGTAGTAGTCATTCTTTACGTACGTCTGTTGTTGCAATAATGGCAAGTATTTTTTTTATGTATTTTTCATTCCCAATTCTCGTAAGCTATGGTAAAACTGGCTCTTTTTCAAGTTCCTCAGCAGCGGCCCTCTCCAGCCCGCTCCTCTTCCTTCCGGTGCCACGGACGACAGCATCAGTAGCGCTGCTGCGTATTGGCACCGCCGCTAATTGTTGCTCGCGTCATTAATAACCGCGGCGCCCAACTATCGGCGGCGCTTCATTCGTCACCGGTGCCACGCGGGATAACTTGCGCGAGTTGGCACCGCCGCGCTGTAATTACTGCCTTTGCTGTCGGGTTCTGCCTCGGAGGCTGAGGGGAGGGGGAGGGGGTGAAGGGAAGGAGGGAGGGAGGGAGAGAAGGAGCCGAGGGGAGGAGGGAGGGAGGTATTGGAGGGGGGTTGGAAGTCGACCGCGGAGGGCGCGCACCGATCGCGTCGCCGGTCACGAAGCCTCCCGAAGGAGCCTGTCTAACCGCCTGTCTCTCCCGCAGGGACGCCCATCAACCGGCTGCCCATCATGGCCAAGCAGGTCCTGGACCTGTACGAGCTGTACAACCTGGTGGTGGCGCGCGGCGGCCTCGTCGACGTCATCAACAAGAAGCTGTGGCAGGAGATCATCAAAGGCCTCAAGCTGCCCTCGTCCATCACCAGCGCCGCCTTCACGCTCAGGACGCAGTAAGTGCCGCGTTCCACCTTGTTTCGTTTTTTTTTCTTTTCTTATTCACTTGTTCCCTTATTCCACGTCTGTTCCAATAGGGTCAGTTACTCCTTCACGCTCAGAACTCATTCAGTGCCCCGCCTCTGAATGTTCTTATTTCCCGTCTTTCTTCCCGTATTTCATATCCTTACTTCCTCCTTACCCCCCCTCCCTTTGCGTTTCCTCAAGTGTATGTCCTCATTTTGCGTAATTTTCTTCCCTCATTTCACATTCCGAAAAACTCTTTATGTTATTCTATCGCGTCCAGGGAACAGTAATTGCCTTGTCTTTTGGAATGCTGCCTCACATTCCTGATCCTTATTTTCTGATTCCATTGCGTCATCGCCCTCTCAGCAGTAATTGCCTCGCCTTCTGAACGCTTTCCTCATTTCGTGTCCTGTAGAAACACTGTTGCCACGTCAGCCTTGTACTATAGTAAGCACTTAGAAAGATGGACTCGTGTGCTATTTAATCCTTGCCCATCAACATATTGCTGGGAATATATTTCGTGAGTGTTAGTCTCAACATAGAAGCACATTATTTCCTCACAACATTATCCTGGAAACGTACTTCATATGCGGCGAGCACAACATAAAGAACAGAAAACTCCACTATTCCCCGAAGACACTTCCAACATAGGGATATAAAGCCCCGTTATTAACCGACAAGATTATGCTCGAAGCGTACTACATACACCTCGTAATGTATTAGTCTCAACATAGGAACCAGAAACCCCGTTATTCATTGCCAATATTCTGCTGGAAATCTACCTCTTAATGTGGCAGTCTAACATAGGAACCTGACACCCCCCTTATTGCCTGTAAGTCTGAACAGTCATAAATAACCGTTATTCCTGACAACATTACGCTCGAAACGCACCGCACACATACCACATAATGCGTAAGGCTCGACGTATCCAGGACACCTCTGATGCGAAAGGCGTGCGGGCGTGCGTCAAGGGGATGGAAAGCGTAATAATTCGATAATGACCAAAGAAATTCGCGAATTATATGGGAAGAGGTACGCTTTTTTTCGAGAAATAAGTCACGCTCTGGGGACGGGGCCTGGTTGCTTGAAGGGCCCCGGAAGTCGCCCTCGATTCTTTCGGGTGATTTGCGAGGGTCGTAGTCGTGCCGATTCCGCGTTGAAAAATACGTCAAGTAGAAAGATAGACAAGACAGACAAGACAAGACAGTAAGCAGACAAGACAAGATAAGACAGTAAACAGACACAGACGAGACAAGAGAGATAGACATGCATATATGAACACTTACACATAGACAGACAGACAAAGACATAGAAGCAGGCGAGACTAAAGAATGGAATTATGTATAAATCGAGGGGCGGGGTGGGGGGGGGGTGGCTGATAGGGTTTCAACGGGTCGTCCAAGCGGGGTGGTGATGGCTAGAGTGACGACCCAATAACCCTGTAGTTGTCCGTCATTATCTGTGCGATTGCCTCACCGCACGCCACCCCCCCCCCTTGTACCCCCTATATATACCTCCTTTCTGGTACGGGCGCTGCGGTGTTTCTCCGGCAGTTGGGTGTGGCTCTCGTAGGGTCTAAGGTCGTAGGTCGTCGGTTCTCGTATGTCGCGGATCTCTCGTTGGCTCTCGTGGCTCATAGATCGTAGGTCGTTGGCGCTCGTAGGTCGTGGCTCCTGGCGCTTGGTTCGGAGGTCGTGGCTCCTGGCGCTTGGCTCGGAGGTCGTGATTCGGGGCTCGTCTACTGGCTGTCAAGTGGATCGCCGAGAGTATTGCGTGAGTCGGCTTTATACCAAAGAAAAGCCTCTTATGGACCTTAATAACACCATCCAGGGCAATTTTGGCGAATATTTGACACGGAGAATCTCAGTTACTACCTATTATTATTATTATATTTTTTATTTATGTAATTATATTTTTTTGCGATATTTGCCGTTCTTGTTTCCGTGCTCATTCTTGGTATTTTGTGTGGGGAATGGAGTGCCTTTGTATAAGGAAACGACGCGAGGATTGCCGGACCAATATGCCCTCCTCCCCCTGTCATTCTCTCTCTTTGTCTCTCTTTGTCTCTTTCTCTTTCTTTCTCTCTTTCTCTCTCTTCTCTCTCTCTTTCTCTTCTCTTCTCTCTCTTCTCTCTTCTCTTCTCTCTTCTCTTCTCTCTTCTCTTCTCTCTCTCTTTCTCTTCTCCCTCTCTCTCTCTCTCTCTCTCTCTCTTACTCTCTCGCCATTCCTTCTTCCCCCCTCCTCTCCCTCCCAGTCTTTACCTCTGTCCCTCCTCACTTCCCTCCCCCTCCCCCTCCCACCCCCGCCCGGGAGGAGGGTCGGCGGCCCCCAGAACGGAGCGCCAAACAGTGCCATCCGTTAGAGTGGCATAAGCTGCTTACGTATTTATGGGGGCGGCCGCCATATTGTAATTGGGGAGGGGCGTAAGGAGAGAATTGGGCGAGGATGGCGCCCGCACGAGGGGGTTGGGCGGGCGTGAATGATGCGGAACCTCGCGCGCCTTTCCCACGGACGCCCATCCGCCCAGAATTGACCTGTGCATTAATGATGAGGCGGCGGGGAGGGCGGGGGGGAGGCAGTACCTTCACCCGATCTCGGCGCGCGGCGGAGATAACAGCGGGGAGGGTTGGGGGAGGGAGGGAGGGGGGGGTGGCGGGGCAGTGGGAGGGAGGGTGGTCTGAGGGGGAGAATGGGGTGGGTGGGGGAGAAAGGAAAGAGGGGGCAAGGGGGAGGAAGATAGAAGGGGGGGGGGGGAAGGAGGAGGGAAGCGGGGAGGAAACTGCGGAGGGGGAAGGGCAGAGGAGGGATCTTTAAGACGATTTCGTTTCCCGAGAAGTGTGTTGAGAGCAAGATGGATTTCCCCGCCGAGGAATCGCAGCGAAGGAGGTATCGAACTGAAACCTGGGGACGGCGGGGGGGGGGGGGATGGGGGGCGACAGGGAGAGGGGAAGGAGAAGCGAAGAGAAAGGGGGAATTAGAGGGAGAGGAAGGAGGAAGGGAAGGGAAAGAAAGGGAAGGACGAGGGTGGAGGAAGGGGAGGGGGGGGGGAGAAGGTGAAAGGGGGGAGGGAGAGGGGGAAAGTCGGGGAGAGAGGAAGGGGAAGGGGGGGAAGTCAGGGAGATGAGGGGGGGGGGCAAGGAAGAGGGAACCGAGGAACCGCTCTTTGCCTGGGAAGCGTAGCACCTGCGCTCCCGGCTGACCCCTCACCTTGAAAATTACACTGCTCGCCTCTCCATCGCCGCCCCCCCGCCCCCGCCCCTCCCCCTCCCCCTCCCTCTCCCTCTCCCTCTCCCTCTCCCTCTCCCTCCATCTCACTCGTACCATCTCCGCGGGCGCCCTCCCTTAACGCCATATCGGATTTTCCCGCTCGTATCGCCGTGCCGAATGGGCGGGGGGGAGGGGAGGGGTGGGGAGGCAAGACAGGAACCACAGGACGCCGATGATTAGCAGACAACCGATAGAGCCTTTTGCTTCTGTAGAGCTTCTGTAGAGCTGGGCAATTCCGCATGTTTTAGCGTCTGCACGGCTCTACGGCTTATGGGCTCTACGGCATAAGGTTCTACGGCTCTACAAGCTTTCGGTTTTGATTAAAGCTTGCATGCGCCGGAAAACCCCCTCTTTTATCCCTTGAAATAAAGAGGTTATCCGGCGCGTTTATCCACATCCCGTCCCCGAAATTTCATCAAACAACGAAAATATGGATACTTAGAAACATATAAATATATTGGCACAGGGTCGTTCGGATAATTCCTTCCGCAATTCAGACGTGGCAGATAACGCCAAATTACCCCCTCATTACAGGGATACAGATGTCCCACTCCGTCCAGCTATCAGTGGATATGATCGCCGCCCACACCCATTCGCACCTGCGGCTTTGGGTAATTTTGTGGCGATATCGTGCTATCATTTGCCGACGGGTGTTAGGCTGTGTGCTCTGTCTTTTTTTCAGCAATGAGAGCATCTCTTCTTTACGTGCAAATGGGGACTGGGTTGTTTGTTGTGGAAGGAAAGAGGGAAGGGGGGGAAGACAAGAAGGAAGAGGAAGGGTGGAAGGGAGAGGAGAAGGAGAAAGGAGAAAGAGTAGGAGTAGGATTAGGATTAGGAGATAGATTGCGAGAGAAAGGGAGGACGGATGTGTGTGTGTGTGAGAGAGAGAGAGACAGAGACAGAGACAGAGACAGAGACAAAGAGACAGGCAGAAAAAAAAAATAATAACAACATGAAGGAAAACAGAAAACGCAGAGACGAATGGATCTGTCTCCCCGAGTCCCTCTCCCGCTCAGGTCGCGCGCCCAAGCATCGACGTTTTGCCCGGTCATTACCTTGGCCGATGCGGGAGGAAGGGGGGGGATGAGGGGAGAGGAGGAAGGATGAGGGGAGAGAGGAGAGGGAAGAGGGAGAGGAGAGATGGGCGAAAAGGTAGGAGAGTGAGGGGGGAAAGTATGGAAGAAAAGATAATTATAAACGAGACAAACAGACAGACAGAGTTGACGAGAAAGACAAAATAGAAAAAAGTGAGAGAGAAAAAAAGAAAGAGAGAGAGAGAAAAAAAAGAGAAAGAGAGAGAGAGAGAGAGAGAGAGAGAGAGAGAGAGA